CCCGTGTATTTTGAACTCGACGGTGTTCTCTTTCCTCTACTTGGTACAACAGCCTTCAGATGTTCTTGGATGTCCCCAGGTGTTGCCACTCTGATGCACCTGTGGGACGAACACACATGCACCTGGAAGGATGAACCTCAGATTCAGCCCTTACTTCATGGACTACATGACTGGCGGGCCCACTTAACTGCAATTCAGCACGCTGTTCCGAGCACATGGACCTCGGTCCTTGCTCAGCGAACCTACCTACCAGGGGCTTGGTTTCGAGATGCCACAGAGCAACCTCCCTGCCACCTGTGGCGACTCGAATCCCAGCTCACAAACACTGACTGGGAATTGACAGCATGGAAACAACACACCGGGCAAAAGGGGTTGGGCACCGCCCTGCAGCGGTCCTCAGTCGCTTCCATTTCATCTGACCTCACCCACATGACCGCAGTGAGTGTCCTCGAAGACAATCAGGATCGGACTATCTCCTTTTATCCTTATAGGACAGATACTGCAGCTAAGGATCTAACTCTAGATCCCAGGGATTGGTACTGGATTGACCTTCGACACCCTGACAAGATGCTCTCTCTCAACCAACATTTCGTATGACCTATGTAAAACTCTTGCCAGACATTGATGTTGATTGGAGCGTCATGACTAAATGGCGACGACTTGGGATTCATCTCTCCCAATACAAACTCACTGCTTTTTGGCGCATTCTATCCACTCTAACAGTAGCAAAACATGCTGGTTTACTTTGGCTGATTATGCACACTGCCACTCCTACTGCTGCTTTTTTGTACCGTCGACCAAAAAAAGGCTCCCCTATTTGCACAGTTTGCTCCACAGGACATCTGGTGGAAGACCAACAACATTTATGGGTTACATGCAAATACGCTCGAGAAGTGTGGACAACACTTAAATCACCAGTACTTGGCCCATACATCGGCCGCGGCCCCTTAGCGTTAACGCTACGGGTTTTCCGGGCTTCGGAGAAGGCCTGGTAGTGCTATGGAGGAAGAAGTCATTGGGCCCAAGGAAAATCACAAATGGAATGCAGTCTGTCCCCTTGGTTTATACCGTGCGTGTGGAAACAATGCACAGACGCAGTATAGGCCATAAAAAAAAAAAGAAAACAAATGAAAACGAGACAAGTGCAGGAAAAAAAAAAGAAGAAAAAAAAAAACAAAGTCGTACCCGCCACTTGGCAGCCAAAAGGAGTGAGATAACGCCCTTGAGTGTTTTCAGAGCGCCGCCTCTCACCGCGGGCAGGCGGGCAGACGAAGGGCCAGCTCGGTTGGGTCTCTCTACACTACTACAGGACTGCTAAAAAACCGAAAATGTATCTTTCCATGTTCCATAGGAGGATTCGGTCTCATGCCTTCACGTTTGGAGAGTTGCCACAGAGCTCTTCCTTCTGCCCGCCATGGGAGGCGGGCCTCTGACAGCGCTGAGGGCGCTTTGAATCCTTTTTGGCCTTTTCAGTCTTTTTTTTCCTTTGTCTCTGGAAGAAGATTTGGTCGGACTTGTGCAAAATAAGACTGAATCGACCCCTAGAGCATGGAAAGATACATTTCCATCTTTTTTGTCTTTTGGTTTACTTTTTAGACTGAATACTCCCCTACAACATGGAAAGATACATGTGGGGAGACTGAATCATCTGCTGGAACGTGGAAAGAGGTACACCGCCATTTTTTATTTTTTTTTTCTTTTCCGCCATTTTTTTTGTCTTCACGGGGAGCACATCAGAAAAGCTCTTCCTTCTGCCCGCCGTGAGAGGCAGGCCTCTGACAGAGCTGAGAGCACCCTTCTTGCCTTTTTAGTTGTTTTTTTTCTTTTTGGCAGAAGTTAGTTGGCCGTTTCTTACTTCTGGCCGGCGTGGGCTAATGTACGAGTGAAAACAGCTACCCCGTTTCGTACCAGCTGCTGGTTGCGGGTCCAGCACAAGGGGCGGTACCTGCGCCAACCACAAAATGCCCCCTACCGGTTTCCGCCCCTTCCAGGCTCGGCAAAGCTTGGCGCGCAGGGCATATTTAGGCTCGGCATCAATAGCTGGGCCAAGTACTGGTGGTTTAAAAATGCTGCTCTCCTCCCTCATCATCATGGGGACCTTTGGTCCAAGGATGCTATTCTTCTGGGTACTGAACTACTCGCTTTTACAAAACCGCAAGCTTATGTATATGAAACCATCAGGGCAACATTGCTGTGGCATCTATGGCGCCACCGTAATGCTGTGGTCAAAAATGGCGAGCCTCCTTCGATTCAGCAAGTACTTCATAGAGTGAAGACCGACCTTCAGCACATCATCTGCTTGGATTGGGGCAAAAAGATTGGCCAAAGAAGAAACCTGTGTGCTGGGGTTAAGTGGTTTCACTGTCGTTGGGCCCTGCAATCCCTCTTTGGCATCCATTGATGCCTGCACTGGAGATTTCCAATTCGGCTCTTTTCTGCAGTAGACCAACTCTTTTGCTTCTTTTCCTGATCCTTCCAAAAAAAAATTGTTGCTAGATTAGGAAAGGTAATTTTTCCGTGACTGATTGTTAGCAGTAGGATCTTTCCTGACTTTTCATTGACTTTGTCACAGGGGAGGGGCTCCACCTCATGAAGCAGGCTGGAGACCTAACGTCCCCTGAATCTGGAACCTGTACCATTGTACTTCTGGCCTTGGGCACTGGGCACTGGGCCCTAATAAAAAGACGACAATTTCCGGAAAAAACAAAAAAAACAAACAAAAAAAAGAACTCAAAAACTTAAGAAAAGGTAATATTATCATACTAATTGAAAAAGTATTTAATTTTTTTTTTTTTTTTTTTTTTTTTTAAGTTCTTTTAAAGTTTTCTTTAAACCACCACTACCTTTCCCATATGCCGGCCGCGGGCATCTAGTAGCCTACTCCTGAAAAATAGCCGCCACGCCACCGTCGATATTTTTCATCGATGGAGCGTGGCGGCCGAATTTGAATTTGAGGCCCGCGGCCCCACATATAAGAAAGGTAGTGGGGTTTAAGGTTTTTAATTTTAAAATAGAGATTGGTTTGGAATTCGGATATGACTTCCAGGCAAAAGTTGTTTGTATTATTATTCTGCACAACATACTTTTTTTCAGATTTTTTCTAGGCTACCAGAGTGGCCCGGGGTCAATTGCCCGGCGGGGCCAAAAAAATAAAAATAAAACAATTAGTTTTTAATTTTATTTTTATTCCCAATTTGGTGAAGAATTTCGATGTGACCCTGAGGCAAACGTTGTTTAGTTTATTTTTATGCATAACATAGTTTTTGTTCAGATTTTTTGAATTTCTTTTTTTTTTCTTTTTTTTGCTGGGACCTTCCCTGGTCCTTGCACGGGCCTGTGTGTTTGTGTGTGTGTGTGTGTGTGAGTGTGTGTGTGTGAAGGGGGCGACCCCCCCCCCCCAATCAATCAATCAATCAATCAATCACTCTCAAAACTAACAAAAAGTTGAAAAAAAAGCTAAGTTATTTTTCTGGATATCCGGATGGCCCTGGACCATCCGGAATATCCGGCCGGAAAAACACCCCCCGAAGAACCCGGAAATAAACATTCCGGGCCCTGCGGAAAATAGGCGCAGGGCTTCTTCCTAGGGTCTAGGGGCGCCAAGGTGTTTTGATCAACCCCTGGCAGCACCTCGTTGTGGCGGATCCCGAGAGGGACCCACAGATTTCGAAAAAAAAAAGGCCCGATTTGGGCCATCGGTCCACCAAGATCGACGGGCCAGATCGGGCCAATTTTGAATTCGAAATCGCGCTGCGCCGCTGCCCGGTTGCTTGCTGCCCCAGTGCTCGTTGCCCTGCTGCTCGCTGCCCCGCAGCCCTGCTGCTCGCTGCCCGCTGCCCGCTGCCCCGCTACCCTGCTGCTCGCTGCCCACTGCCCAGCTGCCCGCTGCCCCACTGTTCCGCTGCTGTTGGCATAGCTGCTGCTGCTGGAGCCATCGCCGGGTGCTGCTGCTCCTCTACTCATCGCTGAACGTGAGCTGCCGCCGCCGCCCCCTCCTCCCCCTCCTCCCCCTCCTCCCCC